GTGTTCCGTATGGTACTAAAACTGGCACAGATTCAAATCTGTGTAAGCTCATTCAGTCTTACATTTTTGTATTAATCAGGAAGTATCAATATTTCAGCTACTTTTCAGGAAAATGAATACACATCTGGAAAAGATTTATGATTATTACTGTAGCAATAGCTTCATTAATTCATTATTAAATCAAGAAAGCTGCATAGAAAAGCTTCATTCAATTTGTAATCAAAGTGATTGCTCAAATGTTGATCTTTTCTCAGATGCATATAATTCTCTTTTGAAAACGGTTCTTTATTTTGCTTCATACTTAAAATATTAAAATATCAGTATTAAAGCCTTTCAATTTAATTTACCTTAAGGTTACCAGCTGACTGGTATAATCATTGTTTGATTTCACAACTGCTCTTGCAAATACTTTACAACTAATGATGTCTTGAAATATAAAGATTGGATGATTATCGTTTAATTTCATTTTTTTTTTTTAATTCAAGACATTTTTAAACTTAGGAAAGAATTTTAAATAAGAAAACATCTGATTTCTCATCTGAATGGTGTAACTTTGCCAAACGATACCTTGGCTGTGGAATCACTGAATCTTTTTACGAAGTATGTCCAAAAACTGCAGAGGTTTGTTATTTTTATTGAGTAATCCAACTGCTTGAAATTTTACCATTTCGAATCTCTTTTAGTATTTTAACACTTTTTTTGTAACAATTTTGAAAGAAGGGGAATTTTTTTGAAAAAAAGATTTTGTAATGACAGGTGCAGAATTTATTGACTCAATAAAATTAGAAATGTATGATTCAAATGTTTTATGGCTGTCTCTAATAAATTCTTAAATGATTGTCGTAAACAGTTATTTCTTTTTTTATAGGCTTTGCAAAACTACTTTGAGATACTGATTAATCCGAATAATAGCAACTGTTATTTGCGGCAACCAACGGCTAACCATAATGAAATTGTTTTTGGTCGGTTAATTCGGCAACTAACAGCTGATCTGAATGAAACCGTTCCTGATTGGTCAGATCGACAACCAACAGCTGATCTGAATGAAACCGTTCCTGATTGGTCAGATCGACAACCAACAGCTGATCTGAATGAAACCGTTCCTGATTGGTCAGATCGACAACCAACAGCTGATCTGAATGAAACCGTTCCTGATTGGTCAGATCGACAACCAACAGCTGATCTGAATGAAACCGTTCCTGATTGCTCAGATCGACAACCAACAGCTGATCTGAATGAAACCGTTCCTGATTGCTCAGATCGACAACCAACAGCTGATCTGAATGAAACCGTTCCTGATTGGTCAGATCGACAACCAACAGCTGATCTGAATGAAACCGTTCCTGATTGGTCAGATCGACAACCAACAGCTGGTCTGAATGAAACCGTTCCTGATTGGTCAGATCGACAACCAAAAGCTAATCTGAATGAAACCGTTCCTGATTGGTCAGATCGACAACCAACAGCTGATCTCGAATGAAACCGTTCCTGATTGGTCAGATCGACAACCAACAGCTGATATGAATGGAACCGTTCCTGATTGGTCAGATCGACAACCAACAGCTGATCTGAATGAAACCGTTCCTGATTGGTCAGATCGACAACCAACAGCTGATCTGAATGAAACCGTTCCTGATGGTCAGATCGACAACCAACAGCTGATCTCAATGAAACCGTTCCTGATCGGTCAGATCGACATCCAAAAGCTAATCTGAATGAAACCGTTCCTGATTGGTCAGATCGACAACCAACAGCTGATCTCAATGAAAACATTGCTAGTTGGTGCTTATTTGTAATTCAACTCTTACATACTAAAATGTTTATTTTTTTATCAATCATAATAGATAATATCACCGGTACAATTCAGAATATCAATGATCATCAGGCTTAACAAAGGAAGAATACTTTTAAGAGGAAGAATTTTAAATTCCTAATAATTAATGATCAACAGTAATTTTTGATTAATGGTAAGTTGTGGAAATAAATAAATATTTCATTCATGCAAAAGTTGACTCCGGAAATATTATAAATGTTATAGATGCTAGCAGTAATTCTGATCTCCAGACATGTAATAATTGCAAAGTAATCAAATGTCCAGAGGGTTTCTATTATAACAAACATTTGGCAAAATGTGTTGGTAAGTACGATAGCTCACTTTTATCCGCGGAATCATCACGAACCGATATCTTTTGCATATTTTTAGAGAAGAATTTCATAGTTCAATTTAGTGATTTGATATTAGGTTTAAGTAATTTAGGAACATTTGAATGATTATTCAGCTTTAAGATAATCTTGAGATTTGAGACTTTTTCTTACTTTTAATTCTTTAATCAACAGTCATTTTAGAAAGTTCACTTCAAGTTTTAAATTGCGAGTCGTGGCAATTTCACTTAAATGTGGAAAATATTATTATGATGTTGAATGATTTGATAAAAATAGTGATAGAAACAAAGTAAAAACAAAAAAATTCGACCATACTTATACCTTATAGATCATACTTATCATAATTATATCTTATTGAAATTTAGATGTAGATGAATGCGCATCCAATAAACATTTTTGTTCGCAGAAGTGTATCAATAAGCAAGGTAGCTATGATTGTGAGTGTTTTGGCCCTTTGTATAGACTGGCTCGAAATAATCGTCGGTGCTATCGAACTGATAATGGTTATTCGTTATATTTATTACTTTAATTTTTTTCAGTAATGCTTGTTTATAGAATGGCTTAGTAATATTTTTTTGAACAAGAGCAAATTCATTAAGTGAGGTATTTCAATTTCATTATAATCGATAAGGGAGTAATAGACATGTAAACCTGATGATATACTTCCAGAATCTGTCGTGTTTTTCTTGGCTCATTCTCATAGTGTATGGAATATAACATATAATGCAAAATCTCAGCTTAAGTTGGTACCTAGCAATAGAGCTGAAAAAGTGGCCATGTTCGACTACGACTTGAAGGTAGATCATTTCATAAAAAAGATTCACTATTGTTTTTTAACCGCTTTGAAAATTTTGAATCTTTTCAGAATTTCTTCATTGTTTTCATTTGTATACACACACACAAAAAAAAAAAAGAGTTATAGCATTAAATTGAGTTCCAGGAAAAGAAATTATACTATGTGGATCTAACGAGAAATTCAATTCAGTATGTAAATTTGCTTGATAGAAACAGAGTACATATCATACAAAACCATGATATTGAAGGTACAGAAGGAATCGCTATTGATTGGATACATAGGTTACTAACTTACTTTAATCGTCATAGCATTATTAAACTAAAATATAATAAGGTTTTTTTTTTTTCATGTAAAACTATTTAGAAACAATTCCATCTCTCTTAATAGCAACGGCAATGATGATAGTATAGTGAAAATGCAATAGCTTCAAAAATCTATCAGATCTTATGGATTACAATTGAAAGCATAGGGCATTTCATCAAATTATCAATTCGATCATTGATTTAATAATTTACATGAAGTAGATTTTAATAATTTACATTCTTTCAAAGGCACAGTCATCTCTGCTTCTGAAAGAAAATGAAAAAAAATTAAGCATAGATTTGAAATAATGTTAAAAAAAACGAGATCAGGTACCATTCAGGAATTTGTATACTCTACGTTACAAGCAATTACATGTGCAACGTCTTGATGGTCTTTATAGAGCATTACTTTATGATGGATTTTTTCAATTGCCTCGAGCTTTGGTCGCTTATCCTTCGATACGGTTCTTTTTTCTTTCCTGAAAAACATTTCATAGTTTTGAAGTTACTTTGTAACTAATATTGAACTAACATTTCCTATCTGCAATAATCAAGCAGCGTAACTAATACTAAAAAAAAACTGACACTATTCATCCGGCATTCATTGCAGTATCAGATTGTAAATGGTGGGACCTTCATGTTTTCTTCTATATAATGTGACAATTGTCAAGCAAAATTTGGCTAAATTAGATGATATCTTGCTTAAGTAACATAAGATTCAACTTTTTCCTTGTGCTTTGTCTACTCTCAAAACACTCTCCTCGAAAATAGGATATAAAATTGTTAGAAATTCTTGTGATTCATGGTTCTCCATGCAAATACATTCTTTACAGTGAACTGTTTGCAAGCGACTGGGGAGTGAAACCATTTATAGTCCGTCTTGCTATGGACGGTACTCAAGCAAAAAAGATCGTCACTGAAAGTTTAGTTTGGCCAAATGCACTAGCTATCGATTATTTCGCAGAACGTCTTTACTGGGCCGATGCTTTCCGCGACGTTATTGAGTTCATTAATTTTTTTAAATGTTTTCTGGTTAAGGCGAAGATTATATTATATAAATTTCCGATTAGTATCATAATTTGAATGTAGCAGGAAGAACTCCTCATTTAAAATTTTCTCATGATTTTTATTCTAACCTTTAATCTAGAATGGCAAATTTGGATGGAACGGGTCGACGAAATGTAATCAGTGACGATAAGTTGGTGCCGCATGTTTTCGGATTAACGATATTTGACGATACGATCTTTTGGAGCGACTGGACTCGTCGTGGAATTCTTTTTGCTAATAAACTTACCGGTCAAAACTCAACAAGGCTGATGGAGACTGTATTGCCACCGTATTCCCTCAAGGCATATCATCCTTTTATGCAAATGGAAGGTATGCCATAATCTTTTTTGTAATACTTACGTGAATAAATAAAAAAAGCTTCTAGATCTAAAAAACAAGCTTCAAAATTTACTAGAATCCTACCAGTTTGCTGTGAAATGTTTTTTCATTCAATTACAACTTAATTATACTTCAGCTCCTAATATTTGTGAAGTGACAACATGCCAACATATCTGTGTACCGAAGCTTGACGGTTCAGGACAGCAATGTCTATGCGCCGAAGGATTTATCATGCATGAAAGCGGTCTTTGTGAACCAAACTGTACGAAACATCAGTTACTGTGCTCACGGCCGGATCACAAGTATCATTTTCGAATTAAATAATTTTTTTCTTTTTTTGAATTAATAATTAAGGAATCAGAGAAAATTTGTTATAAGAATTCTTCCTGCTAGAAACAGATCTAAATTCAATTCCTGTTTTATAGACATTCAGTCTTATTGCGATCAACTTTGAGCAAAAATTTTCAGAATAGTAATATTTTTCTATCGCAAATGATTTGAAATTTTACGGATCATTGGTTTCATCTCATTGATTTTAGATTTATAAAATCACATAAAAAAGTTCGCTACTTTTTTTGCAAGCACTAAATATTCACGTTATAGTAATACAGTAGAAACTTACCATTTACGAAATATAATTAATTAATCTTCTGACATATTATCAATCCAAAAGAGTTCACTTCCGCCCTTCTCGTTTGTTCTTTTGGTCTCTTCTATTTATCGGAAATATCATTTTTCTTCTCTTTTTTTTAGGGATAAGTCTATTTACATCGTAAATTAAATGTCAAATTTTTCAAGATAAGTATTTCAGATGTCTCAATTTAATATATCGGTGTGATGAATCGTACAATTGTAGAAATGGAGATGATGAAATGGAATGTCGTAAGTGTTTCTTCATTCCCTTCTTTATGAAAACTATTTCTTTGTATCAGTGTTAAAAAATAAGTGTTCGAAATGTTTTTGCTTTTGAATTCTTTGGCTTTCTTGAATTTGTTTAAAGTTTATTAATACAAATTGTTGCAGCTGTATCGATTTGCATGCATGATGAGCGCATGTTCCCTTGTCGTGATAATCGTAAATGTATTTTGCGATCGCAACGATGCGATGGTTTCGTAGATTGCTATGATGAATCGGATGAATTTTATTGTGCTGATTTAGCTATAGCTTGGAGCCATTAACTGCTCCATAATTGTTGGCTAAGATATGATAAAAACATCATTTCCAATTGCTACTATCATCGTAATACTAATTGCAAACAAGTCTGAAACCAAAATTAGGATTGTATACGACACATCCTCACACCAAAAAGAAGGACAGAGTCTGAATGATATATTTATACCCGAGGACCCATAATTCTTCTCGATTTAGTAGAAGTATAATGATGGAAATTGTGATGGCCAATTGCAGTTACTGTCGGTAAATCGAAAAATTCTTATTACACACTAAATGGTTTAGAATAATGCTAATGATTCATCACTATAAACCAATTCGTTATTCCTTTGTTATATCCCATTTTTTTGAAACGGTGAATCCTTTATCTAAACCCCAAATAGTAAATGTACATCTGTCTTCTTTGTTCTTCATTGTAAATGTTAGCCAAGCCCACTTCCTACACCCTTAAAAATCTTCTCTAATCAGTTAATAACAAAGAAACAATCGATGGCAGTCTTCTCGTCCTCCTTGATATCTGGGTTGATCTTGCTCGTAGACAAGAAACAAAAGGTTCAGTTCAACTTCTACAAACCTAAAGTAAATCAAGTAAATTTAACTAACCTAAATCATCTACTCCTCTGACCAAAAAGTTAATTCAAATTCATCACAGCTGTAGCTTTTTTACGATTTGTCACGTTTATCTAAAAAAAAAAAAAAAAAAAAGTATTCTTCATTTTTTATATGAATTCTTGTAATAGCAATAAGTTCTATTATGAAAGAAAATCTCTATGGGTAACATAGTTTTCCTATTTTTTTTAATTACTGTATACATTTTGAACAGTAATACTTTGCATTTCAATTTAATAAAATTGAAATACTTTTTATATATTAAGAAATCCTTCCATTACTTCAATAGTTTATTTTTTACGAACATTTTTGATTTAAATACAATTGATAAGTAGTTTAAATGATAAATGATAAAATACAAACTTCAAACTAAATGATAAAATACAAACTTCATTAAGCGAAAAATCGATGAAATTAAACATATTTCTGGCAAAGAAATGAATTTGATCATTAATTTTAGCTTTCCAGTACTTTTAAATTCTCGCTTGATGTCATTTTCGATTAGTTTGCATAATGAATTTGATATTTTTTTCTATTTCTGCATCACTTAAGTATTAGACTTTCGTTTCCAGGAAAAATTTTATTGCTTATTAATAACAAAGAATTTTATTAGCCTGGAAATTTCAATAATGAAAATTCAAATTTTTCTTCTGTTGATGAATGATTACATCGTTGAAGCATTCAAAGGAGTGTTGCAGTACGAAGAATGTCAATCTGTTGACAGCCAGCTGGAAATTTTGCAATGAATAATATATTTGTTGATCATATCCTTTAATGCTGATATAAATTTTACTGTAGTATTGAAGATTTCCATTGTCTCTGCAATTATCTTTGACTTTTAAACACGTATATAAGTGAATCTACGTGATATTACGGAAGACTGCAGTTTGAGTAAGTACATAGATAGGATAGAAATGTTTACTGTGTAGTACTACTACAATGTAACATTTCTAACATGGGTAAATCTACCAACGGACTTTACCATTGCATTTACAACATACAGCAAAGTAAACATCATTGACTGACTTTGGCTTTGGAAGTTGCGAAAAATTCTTGGTCTTTTGATCGAGGAGGAATGTTGTAGCTCCAAAATTATAAAATGATGCGAAAAAATAGACGAAGAGATCTTCAAATGTGTTCCACATATATTTCCGGATTAGATTTCATTTTTTCACCGTAAACGGAAATTTATGTTTTGTAAGTGGGAGTGAGGAGTAAAGGAGTGGAAGATAGGTTAGAAAGCAATTTCTCTTGCTGATTTCCTTCCTGAAATTTTAAGTCCGAAAGGAGAATTGTTTACAATTCTTTTTTTTTTTTTATTCTGGCTGTTCAGGAAAAAGATTCTTAATTGAATATCAACAACGACTATGCTGAACTTCTTGCTGCTTTCACAGTATTCATTGTGACATCAAGAGTACTTAAGGTAAATTGTATAAATGACATCTCAACAATTATTAGATCAGCTTAACGATTATTACTTGTAAAAATGACATCAGAATGGAAGCACTAAGTTGCACATTTTTACCTTAAATATTTTTTTTAATGTAACTAAGCGTATCGTTACATTTTGTTGTATGAATTAAATATTCTCATACATACATATAACAGCGTAAGCAGAAGTTAAGGGTTCTTTTTTTTGTACTTCTGCAACATCCATCATTTCTTATATATATGCTGAAATAGAAGCATATAATGTAATATGTTTACTGCATTATAAAAAGCAAGAGAAACAAAAGTTAAGCAAAAAACTTCGCGATAACAACAAAAGCAACTCCTGCAATAACTTATATAATTTATATAAAATATTTTTCAACAACACAGCTTATCACAATCAGTGAGAAGCAGAAAATGATACACAGACCATAACAATTAAACGATGTCATTCCCTTTTCTTTCACTTGATCACGAAAAAGTAAGTTTCCAAATGATATTTATGGGACACATCGACCAACAAAGCGTGGGTAAAGACACACATCGCGAATATGATTGGTGTTTGTTAACCAACAAATAAAACGTTCCAAGCCAAGTCCATAGCCACCATGAGGACAGGTGCCATATAAACGTTGATCCAAGTACCAGTAATACGGTTTCGGGTCAATTTCCACATTTTTAAAAGCTTTCGATAGTTCATCGAACTAAAATATATAAAGAAATTGTTAAAGAGAAAAAAAAAAAACGAAAAAAATGAATAAGAAAACTCTAGAAAATTCCTTTTTTGAAATATCTATTAGTGAAGTTTTGAGAGTAATATACCTTCCAAATTCTCATACTGCCACCAACAATTTCGCCAACGCCAGGCATAAGAAGATCAACAGATTCTGTTAAGGTATTATCCTTTGCATCCCTCTGCATATAAAATGCCTTAATTTCGCTCGGGAAACGATTCAGTAGAATAGGCTATAAAATAATTCACAAATATAAACAAAAAGAGGAGTAAAAATTATTTCTGTTAATTCGAATCTCTGGAACTATCAAATTCTGTTCAAAATATATACCTTTCCTATTATATTCTTGCTATAGTCAAAAAAATGAATAAATCATTTTTCACATTGGACGTGAACAAGCATTAAAGTCAATTTCTTAAAACTAGTTACAAATTCTAACTCCAAACGGCAGCGCCTAATTTAAATGTACCCAAAAATAATTCCGCAAATACTCACCTTATTGATGGTATCAGTCATGAAACGTTCCGCTGCTTCAGCAATATCTTCCCCATAAGTAAAAGTATTACCAAATTCATTCTCAACATTGTGTTCTTGCAACCATTTAATAGCATCCTTGTATTCCATTCTTAAAAATGGTCTTTCTGGCGGTTGAAATTTCTGCAAAAAGAGGATAAAAGGCAATTATCATTGATAAACAAAGGAAAACGTAAAGTATCAGTGAAAGAAAACTCCTCGTGTATATATTATATAACTCTAATAAAGAACAACCTTATTAACTATATGTTTTTTAGAATAATTACTGATCTTTGAGAAAAAATTAATCTTCTGAAGTAAGAATATATCGAAACAAAAGACAGAAGTTTATACTCATCGAATGTTTTAAACTTTTTTCCTATTATAACTGACTTTTTTAAAGCATAGAAATAAGTACTGAAAATATACGCTAAAAATGTAGCATATCATCTAAAAAAAAATCAAAAACGAGAGAAAAAATAACCGGATTAATGTGTTCCAATAATTTTTTTGCCTCCTCGTCAGCTAAAAGTCGATCCACTGTGTCGCAAACGAGTTCTTCAATTTTCTCCATCAAATCATCCAGCGTTATGAAAGGACACTCGGCTTCAACATGTGCATATTCCGCCAAGTGTCGACGAGTGCGAGATTTTTCCGCCCTTAAAAAAGCATTCTCAATAATAAGAATGATTAAAAATATTGATAAAAACCGAATAACATTCACATAAAGTCTGCAATTTCTTCTAATTTATCAACTAGTGTTTTCCATTCATAAAATAAATCTCATCTTTCTCTCTCTCTTCCTTACTAGTAGTCTTAACGAGCAGTTTAAGTAGCAATAAAACTACTACTTAAAACAACATTAACACAATATATTATTATATTTCAGTTACAATAAAGCATTATTATTAAGCTTTTAATTATTAGATGGCAATATCACTCTAAAATTTTGCTAATCGTTAACGCCAAAAAATTTCACAATGATTATGATTATTGGAAACCAACTGGCGCCGCCGCATTATGGTGACACATAAAAAATGTATGTTCGCTAAAAATGTTGCCTTTTTGAAATCATTCCTGTATAAAAATGAGAATAATGCATACAAACCTGTAAGACTGAGCAATGCAGAAGACATCACCAAGAGTGGGAATGCAAGTTTCTAGATAGAGCTGTGATGACTGCGTAAGAAAAGATTGCTCACCAAAATAGTCCAGATTAAATAACGTTGATCCACCTTCTACCTAGAAAAAGATAATTTTCAATTATTTTATCGATATACATATATTGTCCTAAACAACATTTCATCAAATATGTAACCTGCGTTTGCACTAAAGTCGGTGGTGCAACTTCCACATAGCCAGCATTATAGAAATGTTCCCGCATTGCTCGAGTAGCAGCTGCTCTCAAACGTAGCAATGCAGCAGCATTTTCACCTCGAATAACCAAATGTCTATTGTCCAACATTTTGTCGACACTTGCTTCTTCGTTTAACACATTATCAATGCCTACAATGAATATAAACTATCGAAATTAGAATTTTCTTATCTATTTCTATTAGTGTATAACAATGTAACTTAATAGTACGGTGAAATAAGCTAACTATACATCAGTATATGATGAAATATATCATGACCAGACGTAGCAAGTTTCATATTCTTTATGCTCGATTAAATCTAACAGTACGCAATATGGATGGCTCTCAGAATGGATGGATAACTGTCAACTTTTCCCCATAAACACATTCTCTAAGTCCTTTCAGATATTCACCAAGAATTTCTACTTCTTTTCTGAAAAGTTCTATGATTATCTAAAAAAATATTTCAAAATATCACCAACGTAAGCATATATATTGTTTAAAGTACTTCATATGCAGTCTCAATTATTCTATTTTAAAAATTAATTTACGGCACATGGATTACAATTACAAAAAATAAAAATACAATACCATAGGATAAAATAAATAAAAAAATGAACGAAATAATTGGACATTACCTCCAGAAGGTGCATTTCCTATTATTTTCCAAAAATCAGCTATTAACTCGTGCCCGTTCGGTGCCTCTTTACCTTCCGGAACTTCCTTTATTGCGCCGTATATCTCAACCGTGCATTCAGTATTCACAGTGAGAGCGTCATACGTCTGGCACTAAAAAAAGTTTAATTAATAAACTCTTTGTTCTACAGGGAATGGTATCATCTATATAATCAATAGCTCATTATTATTTTCTGGTTGTTATCAAAATTTTTCTATCAATCCTAGACCGCATAAAAAATAACTAACCAATTTATCCATGAGTAGTACTTGAAGGAAACCAGTCCCATCTCGAAGGATGAAAAACATCAGTGACTTTCCTAAATACACAAAAACGAACATATTATGAATGTATATGTAATCTTTACAAAAAAAAAAAATATCTCAAACAATAATCTATTTCACTGAACAACCAGTTGTGATAATCAACGAATAATAATTGTAAAATACCTTGTCGACGCATTCTATGAATCCATCCTTTGATGCAAACACGTTCATTACGGTGCTTAACTAGATCACGAATCTTCACACCAGTGATATATGACAGACTCGTGTCCAGTTCTATTTGCACTTTTTTGGCTTCTTCAAGGGCTGCTTTTACTCCCACTTCTGTCGCATCCTTCTCTAACATCTAAAAAATACGAACAACTTATTCAACGCTACTCATTAAATATTTGTTATACGAAGCTATTTTTTAATTCATTTTTCGCTAATAAATTAAAGTAACACCTCGCCTCACCATCTTTTCTAACAAGCAAACTACTCAATTCATATTTTCAAAAAAAAAAAAAAAAAAAAAAAAAAAAAACAAATCTCACCTTTGCAGCAACTTTTTCATTCTTCAACATTTCTTGCTCGTAACGTTTCCAACTTTTCTTCAATGCCGTCTTTGAAGCAGCTTCCCATACTTGTTTTCCATCTTTCTTTGTCCTTATTAAGAAGTCACCTTTGGAAGACTTAGTAATTATCATCGCCTGATAAAGCGTCCTGCAGTCAATTATCGAAATTTAATTTAACGCAAAAAACTCCAGAAGTTTATACCAATTTAACATAGCCTTCTTAATCTTGCTTCTTCGAAACTTTTTATCTACGAAGACAAAAGTACCAAAATTACCTTAAAGGTTTCAGCTCGCTACCATCATTACCATCATCTCCAGTTTCTGGACAAATATAAACAGTCATTACAACAACCTTCTTCAATTAATTATCTTAAAAAATAGCATATTTAAATAACTAATCATTCAAAAGCAATAAAAACAAATGTTTACAGTGTTACGCAATAATTCGAGAAGAAGTGCACATTTCAATGAACTGCCTTAATCATTACAAATCATTTATCAACAGCTCATTCCTCCTTTCTAACAGCTCAGACCGACTTAATTTCCAGCTACCAAAATGTCACATGTAGGTCACATGTACATATCTTCCCTACACAGACCAACCAACATCGATGTCACTTTTATTGCGGAAAACCACGTTGCATGCTACGCAAATTGCAATCTCTTCAGTACAGGTTGTAACAGTAGTATTGAGTTAGAACAAAATGGTATCAGTTGAATTGTACCAAGAACATACCCTGTAATTAATAATTCATATAAATAATTAATATTATTGATAATATTTCTCTCCACAATAAAGTAATAAGGAGAAAGTCATTCTAGCAAAGTTCGTTATTATTTACTATATCTTTATGAAAAGGATCGGGTAGTGGACATGGATTGTTGTTGTAAAACTTGGCGAGGGCGGTTTTGTATCAGTTTATAAGGTTTATGAAAATTCATCGACATTCTTTCTTGTAATTATTTACTTCACAATTCCTCAAATTACAGCAATTTTACTTTGCAGGAATCAAGGGGAAACGAAATTTATGAAAGCATTAAAAACAGAAAGCTTAAAGGAGAAAGTTAAAGTAAGCTTGTTAGCTTTAAAGAAAGATAAATTTTTTAACTATTTAACTGTTATTTTTAACTGAACGGAACTGTAGTTTTCTACATTTCTAAGCTTTCAGCACACCATCTTATTCAGATTATGTTTGCAAATAGTGGAATTATTCACAATGCACATTATTTTTGATAGGATAATATACTTTGACTTCTCTCTCTTTCTCTCTCTCTTGCTTGTTAACATAAATGATTATAGCTAAAAATGGAAATTTAAGTGCTTAAATTAGCGAATGAACGAAAAAGGACGCATTTCTGTACATATGAAGATAAAGACATCTATAAAAAATGCTTATATTTGGTGGTGACACTACTTGGACCTTGTTTGCAGGTATGTTTATAAAACTACAAGAGATAGCTTTCTGGTTTCCGAGGTATCGGAGATAACAGATATTGATAAAACTTGACTGCAATCTTTCACTTGCAATCATTTCAAAACTATATCTCTGATTTATAAGTGAATATACTGGCAACTATTATCAAAAAACCTAAAAAGTATTACACACCAAGAATAATGCTAATGATTCATCCTATAAACCAAATTCGTTATTCCTTTGTTATATCCCATTTTTTTGAAACAATGAATGCTTTATCTAAACCTCAAATAGTAAATGTACATCTGTCTTCTTTGTTCTTCATTGTAAATGTTAGCCAAACCCACTTCCTACACCCTTAAAAATCTTCTCTAATCAGTTAATAACAAAGAAACGATCGATGGCAGTCTTCTCGTCCTCCTACTCAACAGTACCATTTATTCTGTCATTCTTTCAATTATTCAACTGTATGTTATATCGATTCACATTTATAAAGAAAATAAACGATATCTGGGTTGATCTTGCTCGTAGACAAGAATTCAGTTCAAGTCTACAAACCTAAAGTAAGTCAAGTGAACATAACTAGATCATCTACTCTTCTGACCAAAAAGTTACTTCACTTTGTTCCCATCTTATGTTTAGGCTGTAAATCTTTCATATATTGTTGACACGGTATCAGCTCCTCATTTAGTTGACACCATTGTTATGTAAATTATGTTGGAATCTACGAGGTTAACAACTTTGTTTTAAGGGCTTATCAGCTAGTGATTAGATTTGCTTCTAAACCAGGTGGTCAACAGCTCTTTTCAAACCTATTATTTTTTCGGCAGTTCAACTTATTGTAGATCATATACTTTGTTTGCATATATTGCTTGCTATATAAGGAGAGGTCATTGAGTGGAGCAAAGGATTTCATCGGAAATCAGGAGAATTCAACCGAAGAGACAATTCGATCCCACAAAAAGGGACTTCCACTACTTTGCTTCAATTTTTCTCAACCAATAATTTATGCAATACTGCTTCTGTTGATAAAGGAATATTATATTCCTATTACCCCATATATAACCTCTCTCAAATATAAATTTTTTAAATCTTCTACGCAAGCATTATAAGTTTTGGCTTCTTCATGGCGACAAATTTCATGAAGGCAGCACTGTTGATGTTGAGTCGTGATAAGTTACGTGGACAGTTAGAGTAGAGCCCATGAGTTTTTTTTTTTTTTTCTATTCGATCAGAAAATGTCTATGCTGCGATTAGTCACCAGGTGGAAAGTGGAGGTATGCTTTGATTAGGTCACCTTTTCTAGATCTCTCTCGCGTTTCAATGAGAAATCCGTTCTCAATATCATTTGCAACAAAGAATGTGTTGAATTGCTCTACATTGATTATGTGTTGAAAATGCTCTTAATTTTAATGGAAAATTTTTTCTAATTAAGGAAAAAATGTACGAACTACATACATTATCAAAATATTAATTATTGGTAAAGTCTTCTCGACTTGATAGCCAAATACAGATTTGATTGTTGACAGGTAAGTTGTCTACTCTTTATTTCATCCTTTGCTTTGAGAATTGTAAAGGTCTTCCAGTGTGGCATTTACTTTTATAAATAATTGATGTAGCATTAAAATCTAACTTTAACTGTAAAAAGAGTAAAGGTCATCCATTAGGGTACAACTCTTTATTTACGGTAATCACGCGCTTAAAAGAGGTGGGAAATTGGTTCGCGATCACTGCTCCCTCGAATCTACTTCCTCAATTTTTCTAGTACTGTTCAATAACTTCGATTAATGATAATTTTTATCTCAACCCAACTGAAAATCACTCTTAACCATAGCTAAAAATCCTGCAAAATTTGCCATATTTCACAACTTAATCATTCAGGACAGATTGTTATGGATTAAGACTGTCACCGAGGAGCTTTCGAACGAGCAAAGCCCTTTACCGCATGCATTTTGAAAAGAAAAGGGAAAATTTTTTCCAGTGTAAATTATATGCTAAAAGTTTAACCATTTATTGATTGAACATGTTAAACAGGACAAAGGAATGGCGAAAGCGTTTGCTTTAGCAGAAGAGAAAATTTTTTAAATATTAAATTTAAAAGGAAATAGTTAGAGATATTGTTGAAAAAGTTTGAATTAATAATAATATATGCATATGTGAAAGTGCAGCATAATGCGTTTGTTGAAATTGCAAATTATTGGTTACAATTTTTTTTGTTGTTGTTGCAGATTCCAGTTCTATCAATAAATAAAGTTTAGAATTTTTTTAATCCTGAATTGTGAATGGTTTCATTCTTTTTCATCAATCATTATGATTATTTTTGATTCTTCAATATTCTAAATGTATCGAAAATATGTGCAATGTCGAAAATAGGAAAAAAGCATGGAAATTCGTTTTTTTTTTACGTCTGCGATAGCTCTTTTTACGTTTGATGTCTTCACGTTAAGATTTTAACTCGAATATTGAGAAATTATTTTGTAGGCATCCATATATATAAAGTCGTATGACAAAGATATGTGACCAACTGTGAAAAAAAAGTGAAGTAAAATGTGTTATTCAGAACCTTTTTATTAGCTCCACTACAGAATTTGAATTTTAATATTTATCGAGAAATATTTTTTTGACATTTCATTAACAACTCCTATAAACTAGCTTCAATAATTATTTTTTCTCTGCTAATTTAATTTTTTTTCATTTTATTCCAATAAGTTATGATTAATCTGATGAATGTTTTATTGTGTAATCGCACCACTGAATGCATTAATTTGTATATTTGTTACAGTCAAATTCGGATATTTCGATATTTCATAATAATTCAAATATAATAAAATGAATAGTCGAATTGTTCTTTTTTTTCACATTGCAGCAAGTGATTCAAGATATAAATTACAATTTTCTTTTGGATTTATCGAAATACGCATATATCCTTTTTCGCCCAATCGGTGCCCCAACTGAAAATTAATTATTATCAATTTATTCATTAGTTTAATTTTTTCATTGATTTAAAAAAAAAAAAAAAAGATTGTAGTATATTTTAAAAATGAACTATCCAACATATATAACGCAATTAGCTTTCCTTTTTTTCTTTTTGCCGCAAGTCTATATAATACTATCAAAATGATGTATAACTTATCAATTTTATAAACAATTTCTTTGATTTAAAGGAAGAAGAAATTAATAACATTATAAATGATTTATTCATTTAAAATAATGATGTTAATATAAAATTGCTATCAATTTTTTCATTGTTGTAAACTTTTTCTTGAATTAAAAATTGAGAATGCAAAGTGAACGCATTATCTTGGTAACAATTTCAATTTACCATAGGTTTTAAATAAATAGAAATAGAAAGACGACAAAAAAGCAAAATATGTTTTAAGCTTCTAATTTAAATAAAATAAAATAGCACAATAAATTGTTCAAAATTCAGTCAAAAAATTTAAATAAGAGAAAATTTTTGCCTGTTTTTATTAAAATATATTATTTGTAAATCCAACCGCTAATACCGTATGTGAATAAAAACCTTCGTCGCATTGATCACTAAATATTCCTGCAAATTATTCACATCTAATTGATGCCTAAAATTTGTAATTTTAGTTGAAAAGGTATAAATTAATTAAATAATAAATAATAGATAAACTTCTTAAATTTTTATTATTCTTTAATTTGCATTAAATTATTACAAATTTAATCATTTTTCTTTACCTTATTATTCAACTTTTCGTCTTTTAACAATTTTTGTTCATTTCGTCTCTTCAAATTTTAAATTTAATTAAACAAATTTTCTTACCTTCTTTATAATTTCTGAATTTAGTTGACAATAAAATTCTTGTAACCACCGTCCTTTGCCAGAAGTGCTTTAAATAATAAAGGTGTAACACGGCTTACTGTAAAGGTGGCAACAGGTTTTCCAAATCGTGCACTTTTCATTTCACATGACCCATGCTTTTTCCCATATGGATAGCTCTTTTCGCTTACTAATCCATTCTTTTTCATAACATATGCGGAAAACTGAAGAATTATGCTTTTAAATTATATTAAAGAAATAGTATATTTGCATAATTTGAATTAGCCTTGTTATTATTAGTATTACTATAATTTTATCATCATTTATTATCATTAATAATAATGTTATCATTAAACGTTTTCATTGCTTATGATCATCACCCAACAATTTTGATTAATGAAAATAAAATGCTATCAATTTTATACATATGGAAATAATTTTGCAAAGAAATAATAAAAATTAGCGTTGTGTCACTGTTAAAATTTCATACAGCTTAAATTTAATACTACTCTATGTTTATTGTTACTATTACTATTACTAATATTTTATTATCATTATGTCAATGTGTTGCTATTATTAAATTACTAATTATTATTCATATGTATTAATCGTTTTCTGTTTATTCCTCCAGAAATAACAGAGATAATTCATTTCATTTCGATAGATTTTATATATCTATCTGATTATGTGAGTCTAAAACTGTATTACATTTCCGAATCTTCCAAACAACGAACATGGACCACTGCAATCGACTAATTCCTGAACCGAAAGCTTGCGCAATTTCTTGGTTTGTGATTTAGCTAATGCTTCAAAAACACCTACAAATGCATCGCAGCAGCTTCACCACATCCCTAAAGTAATATTTCATTAATAAACGAATGAGAATTTGAATATTAGCAAAATTATTGTTTATTTAGAACAAATTCTACACGATCTGAATTATTTGAAAAAAAATAAAAGAGAAGATAAAGAAAAAGCGCGCATTTTTTTGCTTCTCATAAGATAATATATTCCATAATTTACTTACA